TCTTCCTTCCTCTCAGTCACTATGTTTCCCCTTATAAGGGAGGGCATCACTCTGACTTCTAGCAGCAATGTTGCTTCTATACTTCGTATTAGTGGAATTATACAGGACACACTGTTTGGTGTCTGGCTTCTTTCATCCTTATTAGTGTCATCACTTTGTTGCAAGTAATCATAAACCATTCATTTTCATTATTATATAGCATCTCACTTTGTAAGTACACCACAATTGATATATCCCTTTCAGTGCTACTGGGCATTGGAGCAGTGTCCTACTTGTGGTCATTATAAGGCGCTGGTATAGACTTTCATGAGTATGTCTTTTGGTGAACAGATGTATGCATTTCTGTTGCATCTATTTACCTCAGAGAGAAATTGCTAGGTCCCAGATAAGCTAAGTTAAGCTTTAGAACCAAAAACTTTTCTGAAGTGTTTATATTACATTTTCTGTCAATAAAAAGTTGTAATTACACTACATCTTTGTGACTTGGTATCTTAATTTTAGCCGTTCTGAGGACCTGCAGCGATGTGATGTTGTGGATTTAATTTGTATTTCTGAGGATTAATGAAGCAGAGCACCTTTTCATGTTTATTGGCCACTTGGATAGCTTTCTTTGTAAATGTTTGTCTTTTTTCTGTTGGGTTTTTTGATGACTTTACATGTTCTTTATATATATTTTGGAAACAAATCCCTTGTTGGATATATATCTGGATTGATGAAGATATATATGAGATATACATATATATATATAGGATATATATATATGGATTGATGAGGATATACATATATATATATATACAAATCTTTAATGCTGTTGGTTGCCTTCTCCTTTGTGATGTCTTTTGATGAACTGAAAAGTTCTTAATCCTAATATACTGTTTTCTTCCGTTTTATGGTCAGTGTTGTGTCCTGTTTTTAAAAAAATCCTTACCTCCTGCAAAGTGACAAAGATCTCTGTCCCCTAAAACTTTGTCTAATCTTTCACATTTAGATTTGCAACTCATTTGAAAGTGATTTTTGTATAGTGTATGATAAAAGCAAAAAATACATTCTTTTCCTTTATAATATCCAATTGACCCCACAATATATATTGAAAAGATCATTCTTTTCTTACTGTACTGCAGTGTCACCTTTGCCACAAATCAAGTAACCACTAACATCCAAGTTGATTTCTTGGACTTTTTTTCCTTTTCATTGGTTTGTCCATCCTTGTGTCAATATCACTTTGTCTTAATTACTGTAGCTTTATAGTAGCAACATTGTTTTAAGTGATTATAGCTTCCAGTAATATGATCAGAAGGCAAATGCTCAAAGCCTGAACTTGAATCTGAATAACTAAGTTATGACTCTCATATATCCTACTGACACAAAAAAAGGAGGGAAAAGAATACTTATTAAAAAGTTTAAAATATCCTGGGTAGTAATGAGATGAGAATGAAGATTATTACTGCATTTTTAGTGTGGTGTTTATTAGGGAACTGGATGCCTACTTTTCAGGTATGGGAAGAAGACAAGAAAAAATATAAAACAACTGTCTACAATTAGTAAATCCAAAATGGCATGGTATAAACCAAGTGCTCAACAAGGGAAGGGAAAGGAAAGAAGGGATGGAGCCTCTACTAGCAAAGCCTTAGTAGAGGAAGAATCCTTGAATTTGAACCCAACCAGGTCACTCTTAATGCAGAACAGTAGAGACTTCATTTTTTGTTTCCTGGATCTCCTTAAATCTATGATCATATCCTGCTGTTATTTTTTTAAATGCTTCTTTAATCTCTATTGTTTTCAAAACAGACTTATGGTTTGAATCTTGACTGTACATCTGAATCATCTGGGAAACATTTAAAAAATGATGATGCCCAAGACTCTCCACACTAACAGAACAATCTGTGAGTGTGGGAGTCAAATCATCCGTGTTTAAATGCATTCCCACCTGATTCAAACATACAGCTGAAGCTGAGGACTGCTGAGTTAGAAGGTATACTCAATCAGTGGTTCTCAACTGCAGATAGGATACTGTCACATAAAATAAAGGACACGTTGGTTAGATTTTTTTCAGATAAACATTTGGCCCCTTGGGGGAATCTTGGTCACTTTTAGAGATATTTTTGTCATGACCAGGGGTTGCTACTGGCATCTAGAGGATGGAGGCCAAGGATGCTGCTGAACATCTATAACGCACATGAACATCTCCCAGGACAAACAATTATCTGGTTCAAAATGTCAACAGTGTTGAGGTAGATAAATTCTAACTTTGTTGTTTCAAAGCAGAATTTATCTACTTTGGAACAATAAGAGAACCAGTACTAAGAAGAGGAAATATAGTCTGGGACTAAAAGCAGAACTTTGTTCAAATATAAGGATTATATTGATGGTACAAGTGACAGAAGCCCAAGAAATGAGTTTTAAACCTGAAGTTACAGCTGAACTATTGTGTGAAGTGTAAGATCTGTAATTGAATTTTTAGATACACTTCAGTAAATTTTCAAAGAAATTCAGAGCATGCAGAGTTCAAGGGAATGAACTCAGAAGTTTATCTATGAAATGTGGCAGCAGTATTAGTTAACCTGAAGTTAAATTCTACAACTCTTTGATATTTTTAATTGCCAAATAAACTTCTTGATAGTGAGTATGAAAAGTCTCTCTTTATATATGTATGTATGTAAGTCACAGCCAAATTCCACCATTGGGTCTTAACACTAGCTTATGTAATCTGATGCATATTCCTATTTTTCATTCTATTATAAAAGCATGGAGGTGGGTCAGGTGATCTGAAAGACCCCTTTCAGCATTTATCTTCTAAAAATTCTTGTCAAAATGCAAATTTTACAACAAAAACATATTTTCAGTGATAGGTCTAAAATCAATTTCAATGGCTCAGTCTTTAAAGGTAGCAAACTTCTGTTTAAGACAATAAATTTTACCAATTCTTCCTTTATGGGGTCCTAATCAGACTGTGAAGAAAGCTGAGTGCCAAAAAATTGATGCTTTTGCCAACTGTGGTGTTGGAGAAGACTCTTGAGAGTCCCTTGGACTGCAAGGAGATCCAACCAGTCCATCCTAGTGGAGTTCAGTCCTGGGTGTTCATTGGAAAGACTGATGCTGAAGCTGAAACTCCAGTACTTTGGCCACCTCATGCGGAGTTGACTCATTGGAAAAGACCCTGATGCTGGGAGGGATTGGGGACAGGAGGAGAAGGGGATGACAGAGGATGAGCTGGCTGAGCAGCATCACCGACTCGACGGACACAAGTTTGAGTAGACTCTGTGAGTTGGGGATGGACAGGGAGGCTTGGTGTGCTGTGATTCATGGGGTCACAAAGAGTCAGACATGACTGAGACTGAACTGAACTAAACTGAACCAAACAAGTGTGATGAAACTAATACCTGCAATATTTTCTTATTGCAGTACATAAAAGTTAAACTACTTTCTACTAGGATTAGTAAGAATCCCTTGGATCATGTATCCTAAACCTAAATCTGCTTAAAACATTTCAAGGAAAATAAAATTCTTAACTGGCAGTTACTGCTTCTTAAAAGTTTTGTTTTTACAAATCCTGTTAGAAATCAAGATGAGAAAAGGAGCCCCAGTACTCTTTACCCTACCGCTGAAATAATACAGTACCAGCCATAGCCATCGATAGGGAGGAAGTATGCTTTTCAACCAGTAGACGGCACTTCAAAACTGTTAAAGCAGAGGGTGAAATTCAAGGAACGTGGCTCAAAGAACGGTGCAAGGTCAGAAATGCCTGAATAAGCAATATGCACACTAGAAATGAGTGATGAAAGGCAGTGGACCAAATAATTCTTTTTGTGGGAGATGTCCTTTGCATTGTAGGGTATTTAGTAACATCTATGGCCTGTGCCTACTGGATGCCTACAGCGCTCACCCACTGCAAGCTGTAACAAGCAAGAACTATCTCAATATTGCCAAATTTCCCCTGGGGGCAAAACTGTCCCAGTTCACTGAGAACACAAATGCTATGCAAATGGGCAATCTATAATTATGCATAGTAAGGAGGAATCTCACATTGCTGAGTGAAGGAAGCCACAGTGAACATGGTATATATTTCATATATATATTAAGCATCAGAACAGAAAACCAACTTATGCTGTAGGAAATCAGGATAGTGGTTGCTTGTAGGAGGGGTAAGTAAGGGGAGGAAGTGCCTGAAAGGGAAGAGGATGAGCCTCTGAGGTGCCAATAATGTTCTGTATTGATCTAAGTCCTCCTTACATAGATGAAAATTTACTGAGCATTTATACTTCAAAGTTTTTTTTTTCCAAACACTAGGGGAGTCACTACTTTATCTTTGTAACAAATGAGAACATTGTAGGTCTTACTCTGTGAATCGTAAGCAATACTCATTACCAGGCTATATGTTAATTAAGCAAAGAATTTTAAATGAGGTTATAAACTAAAGTTGGTCATCTCCATGTGTTCATTTAAAACACAGGCATTTAATTAAAAAAAAAATACAGAAAAATCCATTTCAAATAATTCATTTGGCAGAAGCTACTTGTTCTCCTGAGATTTATCTCTATTCCTATTGACAAAAGACAAATCAAAGATAATTCTGAGTTTAAAATATTGTAAAAACAAGTTCTGTACCCCATGAGGCGTTTCTGTAAACTACTGCAGTTTCTATCTGTTGTTAAAATTAGAGAAATAGACTTAGCAGATGGGTTATAGTTTTGTCTGAGAATAAAACACTTATCTGTCTCAACCAAGGAGTTAAGAATTACTTCTGACTATTATATAAAGTTGAGATTCAAATTCTATTATATGTAAAGATGTAGCATTATCCTTATTCTTCTTTCTCTGCACATACATTTCAAAGTAATACTCAGACTGGTATCAGGACACTTGACAAGTAATAAAGAAGAAAGAAATTTTAATAAGTTAAATCTACACTGAATCCAGAATTCCCAACTGCATTTATTTAAAAAAAGAAAAAAACTTTAAGAACTGTATTTTTAAAAGACTGCAATAAAAAACCACACATATGATCATAGCCAAATGTATGATTTATTTTTGGAGAGGTATGATTAAAAGTGAGGTTGTTCCAATTAAGGGGAGAAATAACAATATGAGAGCATACCCTGGTTACATGTTAATTATCACATTCTGTACAATGTGGATGTGCTCAGCATGTATTTAATGATAATATGAGTATTTGAAATTTAAAAATTATAAACCACTTGCCAATATTGTAAATCCATAATGTTGAAATAAATACCTACAAGGGAGTAAATTTTAAAAACGGAAGCCTTTGACAATGCTTGTGGATCATCCCAAATGTTACAGACAAGCAGAAGATCAAATTAATTGACACTACTGCTAGTTTCCACTTAATTTCTTCATAATATGGCTGTCTGGTGTAGCATTAGTAAAGATACTTCCTACAACCACATGGGTACCCCAGAGACTGTGACGAATCACTTTACAGCAGCCAAGATCATCAACAGAGAATCCTAAATGTCGATAGCGTTCATCTGTTTCAAAAAGAGTGCTGTTTGTATATGGTCCAAAAAACTGGAAGAAATAAAAAATGAAGTCATATTTTTATTAACAAGAAAGATAATGGAGTAACAATTTTTATGTAAACATGAACACAGATCTGTATAAATACTGCAAATATTTAAAAGGTCAAATAAGAAATAAAAGGGTCACATGCAACACCTAACTAACTGCCCTAAAAACCTCTCCCCCTCAATACTTGTGTATTCTGGAAATGTGAAATGAATGATCTAGCAGACTGCATGTTATCTAGAACCAAATGTATAACTTCACATGACCTTTAGAGATGAATTAAGTCTTAGGCAATCATCTATGGTTCACCTTTGTAATTTTCAAAATAAGAAAACTATAGCCCAGGGTGTTTTTCATTTCTAGTATTCACTAAATCTTAACTTCGAGAAGAAACAGTATATATTTCTATCTTAAGATTAAAATAAAATTTATTACTATTTGTAACTTAAAGACATACACAGAATTTAAAATGTGACAATAGTGGCTCATTATTTTTTTAAAGTATAGCTTTATAAATGTTAATTTCCAAAAAGTTACTTTTCTTTACCATCCAAATTTTCTTTATTCTAAAAATAAGTTTTCTTCCTTAATGAAACTACTGAATGCTAATTTTTAACTAACAGTAAGCACACTAATTCAATGTAATTCAAATAATGTCTATTAGTAAGGATGGAAAAAATAAAATTTGAAATCATTAAAAAAAAAAAATTTAAAGTGATGGGGAAAACTTTAACCAGGAGTGACAGAGATCCCTCAAAGTTGTGAATTCAATTGATTCTTGGTACTTCTGTGCATAAAACTGTGAGGTTTTCAAGAAGTCCTAAGTGATTTATTTTTTACCCAGGCCATAATTATAAAAAAGTAATTCCTACTTCAAATTTCAAATGGCTTTCAAAATGTATTTAATTACTCACTGCCAAACCAGATGATGGGTCAATAAAGTCAGCCCAATAGCCTTCAGCTCGAAGGGCATAGCAAATTTCCTTAGCACCGCTGATGAACTGCAAAGAAAAAGACACAAATACTATGCTCAAGATAGCATCACTACAGACTGTTTTATTTTTCAATAAATTTTTAAAATAAATATCTTTTGCCTCAGATAGAGAACACAAGATTAATAAAAAATTAAAACTAATGATAAATTAAGACTTATAGTCTTAAGATTACTTTCACTAGTCCAAATGATTAATGGTTGATATAACACTTTCATTTTTTTAAGGTCTAAATTGTACATAAGAAAGGGAAAACAAAATATTCACAATGAGAAGATATGAATCATTCATTAATTTGAATGGAAGTTGTTTAAAAACAGGTACTTGTTTGTATGTCCTTCAAAAATACACCTATCCAGTCATATAGTCATGAAATATTTCTGACAAAGCACATGAAAATAAGATAAATGGATAGATTGGGTACAGGGCTGGACAGCATACTTACTTTGCGCTATACACTTCTCTATTTTTCTATGTAGTATATAAATATTACATACCATGTACATGCATTACCTATTCAAAATCCTGTGATGTCTAACTCCTATGATGCAAAGACTAGCTTTATCAGAACTCTAAGCAGTGAAAAAGACAACAAATATTAGAACCAGATTAGAATGTTAAAAAAAAAAAAGGACAGACCATAAGTGTTTAAAAACAAGGGCACAACTCTACTTCCAGTCATAATAGAGTAATAGTTATCAAACTTGCCACTGCTGAAAACTATAAAAATGATTGAAATACACGATGCAACTGTTTTCAGACAATGAACAGGCAGACACAAAACTGTACTCTTCGAGAGAAGGGAAACAAATAAAGTGATCCCCATATATGCTCTAGCCTTCTGTCTGAGGACACTTTCCTGTTGCAGGACAAAGAAGTGGAGCCCAAGCAAAGTGACAGTGTCACTTTGCTGAGGCAGTAGAAAGCAACAGGTCTGGACTGCTGAAGCATCTGGACTTTGTGGGGTAGGGTGCTGGAGAAGAGGGTGATGCACAACAGGGTTCCAAAGCAGTCTGCAGAGCAGTCTTTCCTGGTTCAGTAGCCTCATGCTAAGCTGTGCAGACACAGAGTGAGATTCCGTGAGGTCTAGCAGAGTGCCAGATGCAAGGCTGCAGCTGAGTAGTGTTATCGGGGGTCATGCAGCGCTGGGTAACATGAATTTCAGGCCCACCCTGAGTGATGAGACCTCACTGAGCATCTCTGGCATTCAGCTGGCTGAAAGTCCAAGCTAAATTAGGCACATGGGCCATCTCTAAATAAGGGATGAGGAAGTGATAGTCAGAGGGCCATCAAACTGAGTGGCTGCCTGTTGGTATAAACACAATTTTGCTGAAATGTAGCCATGCCTATTCATTTATATACTGTCTATGGTTTCTTTAACAATACAAGGGTAAAACTGAGTAGTTGAGAACCTATGACCTACAAAACCTAAAAAGTTACCATCTGGCTCCTTAGAAAAAGTTTATTGATCCCTTCTATAGATATACAACCTAAACTAACCTATGCTCTCTAAACACAGGCCTATCTCACTTTTCTGACTTCACTGTACTTCGCAGACAACGTGTTGTTTTACAAGTTGAAGGCCTGTGTCTACCCTGTGTCCAGCAAGTCTATTGGTGACATGTTTCCAGTCACATTTGCTCACTTCATGTCTCTGTGTCACATCTTTGTAATTCTCTCTGTATTCCAAACTTTTTCATCTATTATTATATTTATGATGATCTGCAGTCAGTCACCTTTACCGATGTTTTACTACTATGACTCACTGAAAGCTAAGATGATGGTTAGCAATTTTTAGCAACAAAGTATTTTAAAATTATGGTATGCATTTTTTAAGACATAATTCTATTACACATTTAACAGACTACAGTATAACATAAACATAACTTATATATGCACTGGGAAACCAAAATATCCATGTGACTCACTTTATTGCTATATTTGCTTTGTTGTGATGGAGCTGAACCAGCAGTATCTCCAAAGTATGCCTAAACTTTCTTGTAAACTAATGAAAAAATTGAAAAATACTGTATTCTTTAGGTTATCTATATAATATTTGCACTTACTGCTGTATTTCATTAATCCTCACAATTCTTAAAAAGCAAGAAAACTGAATATGGTCTAGAAGTCATTAAAATTATGTATCAATTTAATAAGACATACACAAAAACTACAAGGTGAACAAAACAATGTATTTAAATGTTTGCAAAGATTAAGAATGCCAAATGATCACAAAAAAAACCAGTTTAAATGTTTATCTTATTCTGCTCATCAATAGGAAACACTGACATCTGCTGGAAAAAACTATAATAGATTTAAACCATAAAAGATAAAATATCTACTTGGACAGTAAGTCAGGTGTGATCCTAAAATAATCACAAACATATCTAAAATAGAAAGAGATGTTTTCTTTTCCATAAAAAATAAAACAGCTTAACTCACTATAAAATTAAAAATCACATGAAAAAGTATAGTGCCATTTCAAAACCTGGAAATTGGTTATAGAAAACTGAGTTATATCCATACTGGGGTCAGTATCAAATGAGGCTCAGAATCTTAGACGAATCAAAAAGTAGGACTTACGATGCAATATATATGTGAAAGCAAACTCACCAGCATCTAAATGACAGTGATGATAAACTACTCCTGGTCTTAATATATAAACAGAAAATGTTTACTGAGTTATTGTATATTGAAATTTCAACTCATTAAATTCAGATCTTCTAAAAATCAGAGATAATGTCTTATGCCTCTCTGTAACTTCTGTGTTAACTAGCATATAATTCACTCCTGACTGTTAATTACTACCTGGAATTTATTAGCAAAGCTGTATTTGGGATATTTAAGGGTGAAGTGATTATCATAAAATACTTTGTTAAGTATGTAAACAATATATTTATAAGTTGTGAGAATCATACATCCAACACTAAATAAAACATTAAAAAGCTCCCAATATTATTCTGCATGTAAATTAGTAAAGAGAATTTTTTCAATTGTAGTTAGGTGAGCTGATCCTGTCATACATACAAAGGAATCAAACTCATATAATTTCTAAATATGAGATTTTAAGTTACCACTGATTTCTCAGGTTGATAAAAATGAAAAATAATGCTAATATCCAGGTTAAGAGTAACAACTTATATACTAGGATGATCTTTTTGGTGGACAAATTGGCAGTATATATTATAACTTAAATATACCCTTGATTTAGCAATTCCCTATTTAGAAATATGTAAGTATGAGCATAAAAATAAATGTACAAATATTTTCACTGCCTATAAAAGCAAAAGCTTGATATTCAACTCACAAAAGACTAAAAAATTTTTTAATAATTTAAAAAATTTATGGTTTGCCCATGTAATCTAATATTATACAGATTTTACAAAGAACGAAATATAATCTATGTGTAATGTGAAGGAAAGGTGTCATCATATTTTCAAGTTAAAACAAAGGATGGGAAAAATGTGGGTATGTACAATTATTATATTATTATTGTACTGTACACTGTTATTGTTTACACTATGAAGAAGGATTAGGTAATCTTCACTTTTTACTTGACATGTGTCAGAGACAGAAAGAGACATGGAAGGAGAGAACAGGATAAGAGAGGAGACAGGGATGGGCATGAAGAGTTAAGTTTACATTTTTGTTGTTTACTGTATTTCCAAACTTCCTAAGATAGACATAAATTAAAAAAAAAAACTGACGAAGTACTGGACAGAATTAAAATTTTTCAAAGATACTAAAAAACAAAAACAAAAAACCTGGCATTTTTATTTTCAGAAAACATGTACATTTTAAAAACATTGACATACATTAGGAGAGAACTAATAATGGTAAGAAAAGACAGCTATCATTTTAAAAGTGTTCACTGGTGTTTAAATAAGATTATAAAACTAAACAGTCAGCAGTTGAAAGAATTACCTTTTCTAAGAGCACTTCTCTTTCATTTTCTACCTCCTCACTCCAAACAGTCATATCATTCTTAGTTTTCTGTGTTACAGTCAGAATCATTAGTTTGTTGGTGGCTACTTCCGGAAACAGTGATTCAAAATCTATAAATAAGAATAAAATTCCAGGAAAAAATTATTTGTTTTTTTTGAAAAAAGAAACAGCACATAAAACACTTTAGAAAAATGACAATGAAGTCAAATCGCTACGGCACCAAGCTAGGTTTATAAATGCACATTATTGTTAAAAGGATGAAATAAATTTAGCTTTGGTTTACTTCTGCTCTTTTTGGATGAACCAAAAATATACTGCCAACAATTCCAAAGAGTAAGTTGGGTTACATGTTGTTAGTCTTGGAATTAAAAAAAAGTTTATTATTAAGATTTTTCTCAGTAATCACTTGCTATAGGATGACTTTAGGGAAAAAGTTACTAAAAATTCTACTAATCCTATCTAATGGCAGCATGAGGTCATATGTCAGGGGACATTTGCTAGTCTTTTTCTTGGCCAGGCAATCATCGTTTCCAGCAAGACATATTAAAATATTCAGTTACAAAACATTATAATTCCTAAGGAGTATATTTTTCAATATATTTAAATTAGTGACAGAATTTGATACACACTAGTGTAAAAATGAATAAAGCACAACATACCTCTTCGCAGCAACTCTGGACATGTCTGGATTGCACACTCGACTTTGGCACTTTCAAAGTAAGTTTCTGCACTGTTAATTTCTTGTTCAACAGGTGCATCATTACCCTTTAGGGGAATAAGAAAGATAGATAAACAAAATCTGGAGTTCAAATAAAATATCCTGCCCATTATAACCTGTTTGTCTTAGAAAGCTTTTTCAATAATCTTAATCTAGCTGGTGATTAGGTAACAATCAGTGTATTCTTACATACTCAAACTTTTCTCTATGATGAAAGTAATTTGAGAATTTTTAAAAATTGTTGAATTAAAAAAAAAAGGAATATATGCCTACCGATATTCTAGACTTAATAGAAGTTGGTTAAAAAACTTAAAAATGCCATGATTGTATCTTATAATGTTACCTCTTCTGATATTTTGTTATATCTAACTATCCTTTCTTTTGTTCTGTAAAATGGGTATAAGAACATTAACTTACAAAGCAACGTGATTAAATATATAATCTCTCCAACAGGAAAAGCCTAGAGGCTCTTATTCAACTGAAATTTAATGTGTGCCTATTATACATCAGCCATTATAACAGGAGCAGACACTACAGTGGTAAAAATCCAGTCTTCACTCTTGGTATATAAGGGTTAGTAGAAGAAAAATAGCATGAACAAATAAAGGCAATCCAATATGAAAAGTGCTACAGAGTTGTGAAGGAAGTCTTCTGGAGGTATAAATGGGGAAGAAACTTGCTTTGTTGGGAGAAATCAGGAAAAGGTTGAAATTACATTTGAGTTACATGTTAATTAATATATGTGTCTGACATATAAAAGAATGGACAGAATACAGGTTAAGAATCCCAAAGGAAAAAAAACAGTCTAGCAAGAAATAATAGTGCAAAGGCATGCAATGGTCAAAGAGAACAGTGTGATTTTCAACAAATGAAAAGTATGCTGTGATTAGAATGCAGAAGGAGTAGGAAATCGTGGGAGGTAAGGTAAGAAAAGGATCAAAACTATGGAAATCAATTTATGCCACATTACAAAATTTTGACTTTTATTTTAAAATTATTAAATAATATTAATAAATTATCCTTATTTTACATATAAAGAAACAGTCTCAGAAAGGTGAAGTAACTTTCTCAAATTTAATTAAATTTCTCACGAAATTAAGTACAATAAATAAAAGTTAATCTCTGTATACAAATTTATCCTATCTCCACAGTCCATCCTACTATAATGCCTCTAAAAACTGAGGTAAGATAAGAAGATGCTGAACTCTAATAGTATTAGTGAGAACTAAAGTGACACAAATTTAAGGGCTACTTTCAGAGATGAAAGCAATGTAATTGTCACTATTTATGGGGGAATGATGAAAAGAGGAGTCAAGGCTGTCATTGTAATCTTTATTTTTGGGACAGTGCGAGGATGACTAAGTCACTTATACTACTGACAACATGGGAATAAAGACAAGTTTTGAGAGAAAAAAGGACTCATTCAGTACTAGATGTGTACTAGTCCTAACTTTGGTGCTTCTGAGACATCCAGAGAAAGATATTTGGCAAGTGATACAGAACCAGAAATGTCAGAAACAGAAACGCTAGGTTAAGGAAATATGAAGACACAGCCTATGGAGAAAGCTGAGGACTGAAGTGACCAGGGAGCAAGTCAAAGCAGAAAATGAAGAACAGACATTTGGGAAATATCATATAGCTGGTAGACAGAGGAAGAGCCAAGAAGACTGAGAAGGAATTATCTGAGATAAAAAGGGGAGGTCAATTGTGTCCCAGTGTTAGGTTACTGATATAACCCATAATTGTGAGCGGTTATTACTTTTAATAATATCATTTTGATCAAAATCTTAACCTGAAACTACATAGAAATATGAAAAATGATAAGGATCAGGGGTTTGACAAACTCTGAAATGCATGTAACTTCCCATCTGAGTGAGCAATGATGCAATACTAGTTTTAAAACGCATTTAAAGAATTCATATGCAATACCAGTTCTAAAAAACTCATTAAAAACCTCGCAGGAATTGTTTTTACAAAACCTATTTAAAAATCCTATTTAAAAATTTAAACTAAACTTAAACTAAAAAATTAAACTAAAAATAAAATAAAACTAAAAACTTAAACTAAAAATTAAACTAAAATTTAAACTAAATCCTATTTAAAAATTTAAACTAAACTTTTTAGTTCAGTATATCTGAAGAATTTTAGAGATCTCAAAATTTTTTTAAGTTTCTAAATGGCTAGAGGTATATAAAACTAGTTGGAATTTGGTCCATATATAAATTATAATTACTGTTTGAAAAAATGAAAAAAAAAAGAAAATCTAAATTTCCAGTTACAGAAATTAAGTTATTTATATTTACAATAAATATTTATTAAAAAAGATATTTTGAAGAATTCCCTGAGACTGCAATGTGAAAAATTATATAGCAAATACTATGTATAGGACAACACCAAGGTTTTAAAAACTATATATGCTTTTCCTGTATATACTGGACTTTAACAGATTTTTTTACTTTTTCAATGAAAGTAATACTCTCGTAGTTATCAGAAATAAAGCTTTAATAATTAGAAAACAGAATAAATGATATTAACAACATACCTGAAATTCATTCACATATTGTGCCATAACAAACTCATGTCTTTCACTCGATAAAGGTTCTGCTAGAACATCAGGTAAAGTTTTATGAACCTGGCTTTTCTTCTGTGATGCGGTCCCATTGAGGTGACAGTCAAAACCTATGTTCCCAGGAAGCTGGAATCTCTGATCCTGAGGTCCAAATGGTCCCATGGTTTCATCAGGCCAAACTGTTCGAGAGCCTGAAGAGGAACAACAAAATGAACCATTTTCTCCTTACAACTTAAATGCACTGGTAGACTGAAAGAATGTGAAAGATGCTGTTCTTCCAGTAAGGTTTTTTTTTTTTTTTAACCTAAACAATAGATCTTTGAAGTTTGCTTTACTGGTTGAATATGTTAGTTGGTTTCATGTTATTTCCAAAACACTAGTTGAAGCAACCAGCTGCGAAGTCATAGGTAATTCCCTTATTAGGGAACAGATTCAATAAAGTACTGTTAATCCATACTATGTAATTCTTTTTTTTCTGGCTTCACTGTGTGGCTTGTGGGATCTTTGTTCCCCAAAAAGGAACCGAACCCAGGCCATGGCAGTGAAAGCCTGGAATCCTAACCATTAGACCATCAGGGAACTTCCATACTGTGTAATTCTTAACAGTCATTAGTAAATCTTTACATATGGTGAAAGAAGTTCACAGTATAAATGACATTAAAAGAAAAAGCTAATTCTAAGAACAGTATATGTGACATTTATTTTACATGCTTATAACAATGCTTTAAATACAGAAAAAAAAAATACTTGAAAGTAAAGATACCAGACTTAGTAGTGGTTACACACCCTGGGGTGTGTGTTTATGTTAATCGCTTAGTCGTGTTCGATTCTTTGTGACCCCATGGACTGTAGCCTGCCAGGCTTTGCTGTTCATGGCATTCTCCAGACAAGAATACTCGAGTGGGTTGCCAGTTCCTTCTCCAGGGTATCTTCCTGACCCAGGGATTGAACCTGGGTCTCCCACAGTGCAGGCAGATTTTTTACCATCTGAGCCACCAGGGAACCCTTGGGGAGGGGCATTCAACTGCTGTTACCTGGTGGCACAAAACATTAATGGACTGGAAAAAATTTTGTAACCAATGTGACATAATGCCCTGTTTACCAGTCACATGCATGAATATGGATTAAATACTTACAGAAGAATACACATTACTTTATTCCTATAAAATTTAAAAAAATCCTAATGTGAAAAATTAAAAAAGATCCAGAAAAAAGTAACTTAGAAAATCAAATGAAGAAATACTCAGAGTAGGAATTTTGTTTAGAGAAAGGAAAGGATGGCTGCAGACTTTAGTTGGCAATAAAAGTATTTATAAATTTTCTGCCAGAACTAAGTGACTAAAAATGGTCATGTCATTACAGCTGCCCCTACATGACGCCCATATCTCTCTTCCATACCTATGATAGATATTACTTATCAATTACGGAACTTTTCCCTGCTGAAGCCCAGACACTGTCACATAATTCTCAACCCAAACACTCTAGCCCAGCACATCTCAAATTAAGTATTTAAGAATCATCTGAGAACTTCTCAAAATGCAGATTCTGATTTACCAGATGTGGAATGGGGCTCAAAATTCATTTCTAACCAGTCCTGGATGATGCTGATGCTATACCATGCCATGCTATATTGGTCTGCAGATCACACTGAGTGATAAGGCTCTAGACAGCCACCAATGACCGACTGGAGTCAGTTCACAAACTAAAACTTACCAGCTGGTCTGAACAACCTGGGTTTTATAGATTATTCAGATCTGTGTCTTCAAATAAATACTCAATATTAATACTGGATATGAGCATATTTTCAAATGTTTACTGGTCATTTAGGTTTTCTCTTACAGAAACAGCCTGTTCAAACTCATTTTTGAAATTTTTGTTTGGTTTTCTACTGGGTTATTTTTTCCCTATTGATCTACAAAAATTATTTATTTTACAAAAATTATATAGTTTTCCCTAGGTATTCACAGGGCAATGCTTCCTGGATCCTCATGGATATCAAAATCTGCATATGCTCAAGTCCTTATATAAAAAGGGTTTAGTTCAACTGACCTCTGAGCAACTCAAGAATTAGTTGTTCAAACCCTGTAGTCAAAAATCTGAGTATAATTTATAGTCAGTTCTCTGTATAGTCATTTCCACATCCTCAGAGTCAAGCAACCGAGAACTGTGTAGTACTGTAGTTAGTTATTATTCGAAAAAAACCTGTGTATAAAACAGATATGCACAGCTCAAACCCATGCTGTTCAAGAATGAACTGTATGTGCATATATGTAACCTATGTACATCCTCCTGTATACTTTAAATCATCTCCAGATTACCTATAATATAGAACACAGAGTAAATGATATGTAAATAATTGCTGGCACATGGCAAATCCAAGTTTTGCTATTTGGAACTTTCTGGAATTCCCCACCCCCTCAAATATTTTCAATCTCTGATTGGTTGAATTTGAGGATGCAGAACCCATGGACAGGGAGGTCAACCTGTATTTCACAATACAAACCCTTAACTATTCTGAGTGACAGACCTTTCATTTATGATAGATCTATGTTTAGCCTTCAGATCAAGAAAACTGAGGAATAATCAGAGATAGAGTTGGAAAACTGAGGCAAGAAAACTAGGGGATGTTTTGCATGCCCAAGTGAATGGACATTACACTGTAAGTAATGCACTGAATGAAAAAAGGATTCCATGGGCAATCACTTCAGAATACTTAGGTAAAGTTTCTAAAAGCCCTCCCTTAATATTTTAGTGTGCTTTATAAACCTCTAAGATAGGACTTTGGCATAAAACATTTCTCAAAGTTAACTAATTACAGAACTTAAAAAAATTTTTTTTTTTTAGATCTTGAACAATGATTCATAGTTTGTGGATAGTTTAGGGACGGCTACTGAAAGCAATGGGAGATAATTGAGGTTTATGATGGAAATGTCATGATTTACAGTATTTTAGAATGATTAATGTGATACAGTGATGTGCAAGATGGATAAGAAAATGCAGACTTTAATTTAATAAACACTCGTTAGTAAAAAGTGATGGCTACATTTAGGAAATTCAGCAAAGAGTGGCAAGAAGTAGTAACATAGTTTAATAGGATCAAAAGAAGATTTGTTTCAGGGAAGACTGTGTGTGTTTGAATATAGATTAGAAAAAAACTAAAGTTCAAGAAAGTAAGTTTTAGAAACCAATATTCATTCTTTTTTTTTTGTTTGTTTAGGTATTGTAACTTCCTGGAATAAATATTAGGCAGAGCTCTGATTTTACTTTCAAAGGGATAAACTCAACTTTAGAAGACCAGTAAAACTTCAAGAAGAAATATTACAGGAAATGTAGCAAATGTTATGAAACAATTGTAAGTAAAACAAAAATAAGTTTTACTTACAGATATCTGGAGGTGCAGTGGCCACATGAGACTCATCAGAACCTGAAGATCCTGCGGTTGAAAAGGCTCTGGGATTGACAACCCTTTTAACTAAAGAGCAAAATCCTGGGAGATAGGAAACCAGTCTGGCTCTGTTACAGAGCACCTAAGAATGACACAAAAACCAAAATTATTCTGGATATAAATGTTATACTAACACAGACAATCTTGGGCAAATCCTCACATTGCAATGTATCTTTTAAAACCAACATTGATTCTACTGTTATTGAGCACCTGCCATAGAATGAGCATCACACATATTTATAATTTTAAAAATAAACACAAATATTAAAAAAAAAAAAACAACACAAGTACTAAGTTATTTGGGTAAAAATATATGGCTTTCCTAGCAAGCCCAGAATCAAGAGTGCCATACAGAAAGAACAGGAACTTTGAAAAGTTGCCCTGTTCAGCAGCAGCACTAAAAAAGTGGCACAGCTAGCAAGTCTTCTATTCTCAAAATAAAGAACTTTCAAAACCTCTCCTAGGAAAAAAAAATCTACTTACTTTCTAACTCTTCTTTTACTGCTATCAGATTGTGCTGATTATCTCCCATGCTATCTTTCTCTTGATTTTATGGCAATGTCCACTTTCCTCCAGTTGAGCATACATCTTTATGATACCTTTTCTGCTCCTATGTTCATTTCCTAGACTCAGCTCAGTTACAATATGAATGTGTGAACATCTTTCATGTATAAACTTTAATCAAAATAGCTGAGTCAGAATAACTTTGATGCAGGGGTTGGCAAACTAGAGCAGACTATAGCCTTCTGTCTGTTCTGGTGAATATAGTTCTACTGTAACACTGCCACACCCATTTATGTATCATCTATGGCTGCTTTCATGTCATAATTGCAGAGTTACTTCAGAGACTCTGGCCTACAAAGCCTAAAATATTTGCTACCTGGCCCTTTATATTTAAAAACACTGCTGACTCTTAGATTAGTGGAAAGCACTTAAGAACAAATACCATATCATCTGTGAAATTCTATTAAAAGATTCGAACAATTAAGAGATCCTTGAGGTCATAGGAAAAGTTTCATGAAGGATATACTGGGTTGTGAAGAAACAGAAATGTAGGCACTCATTTCAATGAGTGCCTTTCAGGAAGAAAGGTATGGAGGTCATTTTCAAAGAGTGACAGGTTCACTGAAGGTGAATGCAGTAAAGAACAGGCTTGAAATTTAACTTATGAGCAACTATAAAAGGCTTTATACTTTGTGACACAGATAGGAAAGGGCCTATTACAACAAGATAATAAATCAGAATTTTAACCTGTAGGCAGGGAGGAAGAGAGTTAACTGATAAAAATAAAGGATGTTTTAAGGAATGTACAACTAAGGGCAGTGGAGAGAAAAGTGTGGGACTAGAGAGGTGGTATGGAAACTAGTTACCAGGAGGTTGAAATAGTCTAGCCATTTGATACTTTGGAATCATTCTTATTCCCTTTCATAGAGTATTCTGAAATCCAACCTGTCTGTTCTTTGACTGCTCTTTCTACTTCTCTGACAGAATTTCTTACTGATTTTATCTTCCCTTCTCTTACTCCACTTTTCAGTCACATAAAAATACCTATACAACATTTCCATATTTCTGTCTTTTATACTGCCATAAGATTTCTTCCACTAAAATGCCCTTTTCCTTCTCTTAGGCTGGATAAATTCCAACTCTTTCTTCAAGATCCAGATAAACTGAACCTCCTCCAGATGTCTCCAAAATGCAAGGCCTATCTCTAGAGCATTCTGTCCACCTGAAAATTTAAGCATCCTCCCCTAGCCCTACAGCCTCATCATTAGATTATTACTTAATGTATCATATTCAACTACAGGAATACTATGCTGGCTAACCGTTTCCATATTAGTTTTCCTAACACACAACACTAATTAAATCACCAAAATTTAAAGAATAAAGTCCAACTTACCAAGTCTATCATTAAAAACTCTTTGCTAGTGGTTTAGTTGCTAAGTCACATCCGACTCTTTGTGACCACACTGACTGTAGCCCACCAGGCTCCACTGTCCATGGGATTTCCCAAGCAAGAATACTTGAGTGGGTTGCCATTTCTTACTCCAGGGGATCTTCCTGACCCAGGGATGGAACCTGAGTTTCCTGCTTGGCAGGTGGATTCTGTACCACTGAGCCACCTGGGAAGCCCCAAGACTCTTGTTACTTGATCCCAAATCCTCAATCCAACCTTATTTCCCACTCATCTCTTTCACACATCTTACATTGAGGAAGACAGAAATGACTTCTTGATTTCTGAAGGGGGGCAGGGCCAGGGGGTGTCTTTCAATATATCTGTTCTGGGTGAGATTTAGATAATATCACCCATCTTTTAAAATTCAAATGCTTCTCTGTTTAAGTGAACCCAAACCCCTACTTTTCCCTCTCCACAAAGCTTTGAATCTGTATTGTACTTCTGTGTAACTTTTAAAATTGTTTCTACTCTTACTGTAATAGTTTTCATGTATGTTTTATGACCCCTAAGGCACGATGCGTTTAAGTCATCACTGGACAGTTACTGTGAATAAATACCTCTGGTCTATGAGAATAATCTCTCTTGCTCTCATTCTGTAATATCTGTAAGGTTACTTCCTCTACTAAAACTGCTACAAAACCTTCAGTTGACCTAACCAAACAGAAACCGGCTTAAAAATATATTCTAAGTATTTACAAAAATAATGCCTTTTAAAATTACTGAAAGGATGCTGGCAATGAATTTATTTCTCAAAAGGAACTGCATAAATAAATAAAAGTATTGAGAAATATGTTTGTGTTCAAACTACCTTCAAGGCATATTGATCTAATTTCACACCCCTTGCTTCCCTTGACGTTTTTGATTCACCAAGTACAAGAAACATTATGCCATCAATGCCATTATAATTAAACCCGTCCCTCCATTTCTTAACGAGTTCCCAAAATAATTTACTACTGTACTGCTTAAGAGACTAATTTACTCACATTGGCCATTTCTGGTGGAAAGGGCAGACGAAAATTATCTTCCCTTTTGTAAAGTTATTCCTGGGAAAGGACAAAACAAAACAGGCCGGTGACGGATCAAGCTCTAACAACAGATCACTCGGGTAATGTCCACCATCGCCTACTGGGTGTCCCTTCTTCCGCGACAGGACCAAAGTCAAAGCTGTCCCCGGACCCCAAGAGACTGGAATTCGCCCCCTGCCCCCACAGGGCACAAGTCGCTGCCCACAGGAGGCCTTGCAGCTCTCGGCCCGCCCGGTGTGTCTGCGGAAGACAACTCCGACTAGATCCGGGTGAGGAAAGAGGAGCCGTCCACCAGGATGGAGTCCTGAGGCTCCAAGTAGGTATTTTAACACCGGTCAGGGTTCTAAATAAACTGTAAGCAAAGCGTCCAGCAAAGATGAAGGTTGAGGAAGCGAAAAAGATCCTAACGACAACAGTGGCAGGACAACCGGGGACAGCGACAGGGGCCCTGTGAATATAGGGGCAACACCGAGCGCTGTGGCCAAAAGATGGGCAAATCTGGAGGGGCTAACGCGGGCGGAAACCGTCCGTACCAGTCGCCGCCGCCTCATCCGCCTCCAGCGGTCCCAGGCCCGTACTCTTCCCGTCTTCAAAATGGCGGCGCGACGGCAGCGGATGTAGCGCTGACGCTGGCAGTGACCAGACTGAAGAAGTTGCTTTCGAGCGCATGGATGGGAATGATCCTCGAGCCGATGCTGCGCACGCGCACGGGAGGCCCACGTAGCCCCGCCCTTTCATTGGATAGTCCACCGCCCCCACGTAGGAGGAGGAAAGATGAGGTGTGGATAATAACATGTGGGAGGAGATCGAGGCTCCAGAGCTGCGTTCGGCACTGATTTAATTTCGATCATTAACTCACCGCTGTATTTGAAAGCCTCCTCTTGCCCCAAGACTTTATTGCTCAAAGGAGGTACAGTTTTCTGTTCTTTGTATCTGTTTTTTTTTTTTTTTTTAATGTCGAAAATAACTGTTTTTGAGAATAGAGCCTCCTGTGTGCCAGACTTTTAATAGGCACAATAAATATATATCCCACGACTTATTTATAGGAGTGTATCACTTTTAAAATTTATTTTTAATTGAAGGATAATTGTTTTATAGTATTGTGTTGGTTTCTGCCAAACATCAACATGAATCAGCCATAGGTATACCGATGTCCCCTTCTTCTTGAAACTCCCTCCCACCTGCCTCCCCATCCCACCCCTCTAGGTTGTTACAGAGCCAAGATTTGAGTTCCCTGAGTCATATAGCAAATGCTCATTGGCTATCTATTTTGTATAAAGTAATGTATGTTTCCATATTACTGTCTCGTTCCATCCCACCCTCTCCTTCCTCCCGGTCTCCCCCGAGTCCTGTCCATAAGTCTGTTCTCTATCTGTGTCTCCACTGCTGTCCTGCAAATAATTTCATCAGTACCATCTTTTTAGATTCGATATATCTCCATATATTGTTTTTTCTCTTTCTGACTTCACTCTGTATAATAGGCTCTGTATAATAGGTTCATCCACCTCCGTTAGAACTGGAGAGTATATAATTTTAATTTGTCATCTGTATTTTAAAAAGTTAACTGAAGTCCATACTTTATTCATACTGATATTTTTTAATGGGTCATGTTGGGCAAGTTAGTCTCTTTAGGCTTTTAGTTTTCTCTCCTCTAAAATGGGAATATATATTCCCATTATTCTAAAATGGAAATAATGTAATAATAGCACCCAACTCATAGTTCATGAATATTAAATCAGTTAATATGTAGCTAACACATATAGCACTGTGCGTGCACACGCGCGTGCGTGCGCACGCACACGCACGCACACACACACACACCCGCTCACACCTTGGGAGTCTCAGAGGCTTCTGAGAAAAACCAGTGAGCTGAGTATTTGAGTTACTTACAACCCATTCTTTTTTCATTCCTGATAATTTCACCTTCAAGTCAGCTTACTAGTCCAGGTTATATAACAAGATTTTTGGTTGAATGATGATTGTAGGCTTTTTGAGACTGGGAACCATATGTTATTCATCTTTGCCAGGATAGAAAATCACCTCTCAGATAGAGGTGGGAGTGAACAGCGGTGTGGCAGAAGGCTGTCAGGAATAACTTCATAGTGTAGGTGATGCTTGATCAGCGTTGAAAGATGAGTAGTTGTTTGTCTGAATGCCAAGAAAAGACATTACAGGGTTGAGGACATTCAGTCAAAGGAAGCAGTGTGGATAGAGATACAAAATCCAAAACACTATGGGCAGTTGGGGATATCCACAAATAATCAAATGAGTGAGTTGGAGGTAGACAGGGGCCAGATCATAGTCAGTCTTCAGTGAACTATTAAGGTAGATGTAATCCTGGAAGCAACGGGATACTGGGCAAATTTAAGCCATCATAGCATTATCAGATATGTGTCTTGGGAAGACCCTTGGGCTTCAGTATACAGGATAGGTTGGAAGAATATGGAATTGGACCTGGAGCAAGTGGTTAAGAGACTATTGCTGTGCCCATGAGAAAGAACATGACAACCTGAATTAAGCGCAGGGGGAAAGTTGAGAGATCAGTACTGTATAGCTGTCCATTAGCTGCTGACAAGGAAAAGGACACGTTGAAGATGATTCCTGCATTTTTGACTTCGGATACTTGGTGACTAGAGTTGCTTTTGGTGAGACCGGGGCCCAGGAATATTAATTTGTGGAATGTGTGCCATGTGGTAGCACTCATACAGGGATTTTCCATTCTTTAATTCTCATAACAATCCAGAAAACGGACATACTATTATCCTCATGTTAAATATGAAGAAATTAGAGCACAAGTGGCGTATGTATATGTCTGAAGCTTCCAGGGTTAGATTTGAATCTCGGTCTGTTAGGTTTAAAAATAATGTTTTCTTTCACATAGGTGTTGTCTCCTAGGAAGAAAATAGGTTTTAGGGGAATAATAATGAATTTGGCTTGGGATATCTTGAATTCTAAGATGCCTGAAGGGCATTCGTATGTAGTTGTTAGTAAGTTATTGGACAGTAAGACTGTTGCTCAGGAAAGTGGTTTATGTGGGAGACAGACATTAGAGAGTCACTGATATATGGGTAGCAGTTAATGCCATCAGTTCAGTTAAGTTCAGTTAAGTCGCTCAGTCGTGTCCGACTCTTTGTGACCCCATGAATCGCAGCACGCCAGGCCTCCCTGTCCATCACCAACTCCTGGAGTTTACTCAAACTCAGGTCCATTGAGTTGGTGATGTCATCCAGCCATCTCATCCTCTGTCGTCCCCTTCTCCTCCTGCCCCCAATTCCTCCCAGCATCAGGGTCTTTTCAAATGAGTCAACTCTTTGCATGAGGTGGCCAAAGTATTGGAGTTTCAGCTTCAGCATCAGTCCTTCCAATGAATATTCAGGAC